GCCATCCTAGCAGCAGACCAAAAGAATCAACATATGTCTACAACATTTCCGCAAGGCATGTCAGCATTTCCCCAACCATTTTTTACATCCAAAAATACAAACAGACTCACACATAGTTTAAGCTCCCACACAGAGCTTTTAAAGACCTCATTAAGAAAAAGCAAATTGTTTCCTCTCCTCTTACTAAAAAGCCTTCTCTTTAATGTTCTTTTTTTAAAAAAATTCATTTGTATAACACCTTAACAGATTAACTTAAATGAAAATCTTTACATGTGGAGAACTATTGGAGAGTCAGTATATGTATACAAAAGATTTTTATTCTATCATTTGAATATCATGGAGAAGAATCACAAAAGGCTCTCAATTATTTTGTTTCTCTCATTTGGAAGTTATTAGTAGACTTTCCTTTGTTCCATTGAGAAATGAGGGAAGAAAATATGAAGTTACAGCGAACCCATATGGCTAGCAGGAAAATCCTATTTAATTGCTTTATTGCCAGAAATGTTAAATCACTTCCTGAGGATACAGTTCAAATGAAACATATGGCAGCTATTAGCAAAAGCCCCTAATGAATTCAAAAATATGCTTTTTATGGGAGCTTTCTCATAAGCAACAGTCATACATGTTATTTAAACTGCACATACAAATATGCATTTGGTATTTTAATTCCACAAGCGTTTGATGAACACGTACTCTGTACCAGACTATACAGGCAGCTTGCATGAAATGTTTCATTCCAAGCAACAGACATAACACTATAGAACCTCAAGACATGGACCCCAATTTAGCCATGCCTCTTCTCAGAAGTCAAAGGCAAAAAGAGTCTCTTGACCAACAACGCCTCCTTCCCAAAGGCTCAAGGCCCAAGAAAACCGTTCCATTTCCACCTGGGTCATCCTAATTATCTATCTTCTTACTCCTTTTAATGTCACGCCAGTGATGGTGCTGACCACTTCCATTTAGCCTCCACTGCATGAAACTATTCTTTATCTTTTCACGTATCTTCTTCAGTCGAATTGTGAATTCCACAAAGAATAAAATATTACTAAAGGTTTTTGTACGAAGGATAATATGAAGGCATGCAATAAGAATCAACAAATAGCTTTAATTCATTAAAAACTGAGTGTCAGCATTTTTAAATGTAATACCTTTCATCCCTGGGAAATCCTCACAAATTTAATCAATTATTCATAAACCGAATTCTAAAGAGGCAGTTCTCCTTCAAATTCAAAGATAAATCAGTTGAGGCGCATCTTAATGACTACCTTGTTTCACTTTTGAAAAGAAGTTATAAAATTCCATTAAACTTTGACTTTCCTTGTTCCACATCATAACATGGTCATTGTAGTTATTTAATGAAGTGAACCTTGGTCGATTCAAGAATCATGCAGAACATGGTGAAATTTAAAGTAATTGACATTGGCTACATGAAGTATTACCATTGGCTATATGGAGGCTAAAATATTTTTGCTGTGTAGTGCAGCTCATTGATTAACATTTTTATTAAACATTTACTTATACAATGCTCAGTTACATACTTTGTAATCAAATAGAATAAAATACGGAAAAGGCCTGTCTCTGGTCAACTTGTGATTTGGAGCAAGGCATTCAATTTGTCTTAAATGCCTTAGCTATAAGAAGAGAGAATTCAGATAATTTCTAAATGTCTCACACAGATATTCCTGCATGGATACTTTGTGTTCTAGGTCAAGGTCTTATCATGGGACCTCTACTAACCTTTCTCCTCCTTCATTTCAAAATCCTCTAGTTAGTATTTTGAAATTAGTGTTAGTGACCTCAGGGACCAGCATTCCATTGGGCCAGATATCCCATCTTCCATTACAGACTGTGACCTCACAAATGCTACTTTACTTTCGAGGACTTCATGGGCTGTCCTAAAGATTGAGTGAGTTAGTGCAGGTGAAAGCTTAACACTGTGTGTTGTTTGTACCCTTTTACATACTAAGAACCTAGTCGGTGTTAGCTAACTGTGTACTGAGGAACTATCTCCACGAGTATCCTCCAATGGCCTATCACCAACCTTTACAGTCTTTCAATGAAAGGGTTTCTGTTTTGTTTTGTTGTTTATTTACTGTCACAAAAGAGAAAAGCTAATTTAAAAGCCCTGGTCTCCAGTCAGGGAGAAAACTCCAGGGGCTAGGCTTAAAATATAACACATAGTATAGATTTAATTCCATTCTTAAATCCTTTCCAAAAAACAAAAACAAAAAACACAAACACATAAAAAGTAAACAAATACCACCAAAACTGCAGGATAACTTTCTTGTAAAGGGAGAAAATAGCTTTCCTGGAGTATAGAATCAGAGAAGTTTTTCTAGAAGGAAAGGAAAAAGCAGGTGATGCTGCTATAAATGAACGAACACTGAGAAGATGCTTGAAGCCCATTCAGTCCCCCTGATGCCCTGCTGTCTGGGAGTGAGGCTCCCCTCTGCCATGGAATCACCTGATAGGCTCTTCATGGTTGCATCTTTGTCAACATGTAGAGTTGATGTTCACACCCACACAACAAGAAGTGAACAACTAAACATAGATCAAGATTAAGTCAAAATACACTTTCACTATGGATCAGTCTTGCCAAAACTAAACCTCCTCTATGTTTTATCCATAGAAAGATATTTCTCTCTTTGAAAAACTGCATCAATCTCCAAATCCTGTAAATTCCAAAGATGAGGATGTTAGCAGTAATAAATGTCTCACAAAGATATTGATGTCTTCATATTTGATATTTCTGGAAATGAAGATTGATGCTATTTCCTTAGGCTGACCTATAACAGAGTTTCACTTGAAACTCTCTCTCTCTCTCTCTCTCTCTCTCTCTCTCTCTCTCTCTCTCTCTCACACACACACACACACACACACACACACACACCTGCAACAAAATCAGTTACCCATTTGAGCCTATTTTTCTTACCTCAATTCTAAGGACCTTTTCCACTGAAGTGCGGGAGAGGCATCACTTGTGGATGTCTCTTGTGTAGTCAGTGACATGGGGCAGAAGGCATCGAATCCCAGTCGGCCAAAAAGATTTATAAAAGGTTTCCAGTACAAGATGATAGTCTCATGCTAATTGTATTTTATCCATGAATAACTGAAATGAATGGGAACCAGAAGTTCAGCTTCCTAAATGTGTTTTAGAGTATCTACAAAGAGTAGAACTAGACATGTATACTTTAAAGTTTTGGGTAAACATCTCATTCTAAACTTTATTTTTTAAATAATGATAGTGATAGTTATCTGTTGCTGGGAATTGAACTTGTAAACCTCTCTGACCCACTGCCCATAGTAACAAATAGGAAGAACAACTACCTTTTCCTGAGGACCTTGTACGCTTTATAGAGGCTACTACAATTAGTCCTCTCAGCAGGTAGGAGTGATCTTCCTGCTTTATAAAGGATCAATCTAAGCCTTTCAGAGACAGAGAAGACATTTGAAATGCCAGAGACTGACCAATTTACTTTTTCTGACTTCCAAAGTATGACAAAGTAATTGAACTACAAAAATTCTACCCCAATTCAAAGAGTGTTTTAGTCACATTTATTGCCAATATCTTTTAAGGGTAAGATGAGTCTGTCTTCAGAGAAGAAAACAATTACTTGATGATTTACAATTATTGTAGCTGGATCTAGTAATTTTACTGATAGTTCCACAATTTTCATTTTCTTTTGAGCTTTATTGAGGTATAATTGACAAATAAAATTGTAAGATATTTAAAGTGTACGTTGTGGTAATTTGATATATGTATACATTGTGAAATAATTCTTTATGTCTACTTAAAACATCTATCACCTCACACATTTACTTTTTTTGGTGAGAACATTTAAGTTCTGCTCTCTTAGCAAATATCAAGTAATAAATATATGTAATAAATATATTACAATTTATGAACTATAGTCACCGTGTTTTACATTAGATCCTCAGATCTTATTCATCTTATAGCTGAAAGTTTGGACCCTTTTACCAACTTCTTACTATTTCTCCAAGCCCTGGTAACCACTTTTCACTTTTCCACTCTCTGATTCTGTGAATTTCACTTTATTTTCTTTCTTTTTTTTTTTAATTCCATATATAAATAGCATGCAGTATTTGTCTTTCTCTGTCTGGCTTATTGCACTTAGCAAAATGCCCTCAGGGGTGTGTGTGTGTGTGTGTGTGTGTGTGTGTGTGTGTATCAGGGGTGCCAAAAAAATGTATATAAGTGGACACTTTGGTCAACGTTGCTCAAGCAGTAATTCATCGTAATCAGAAGTGTCTGGACTCTGATGGTAACCACTTTGAGCACCTCTTGTAATTGCAGAAGTCAAATGTGATTTGTATTCATCTTTTGTTATCGGTATATGTGTATATTGACTATTACAATTTTAATACAGTTTTCCTTTCTTAAAATGTGTATACATTTTTTGGCACCCTCTGTATATCACATTCATATCTTGGCTCTTATGAATAATGTTGCAATGAACATCTGAATATGGGAATGCAGATATCTCTTAGATACTCTCTTTACATTTCCTTCGCATATATACCCTGAAGTGGGATTGCTGGATCATATGGTAGTTATTTTTTTTATTTTTTAGAAATTTTTGAGGCACCTTTATACTGTTTCCCATAGTAGTTTTACCAATTTACATTTCCACCAACAATACATAAGGGTTCCCTTTTCTCCACATCCTCACCAACACTTGTTATTTCTTGTCTTTTTTATAATAGCCTTTTTAACAGGTGTGAGGTGATATCTCATTGTGGTTTTGATTTGCATTTCCCTCATAATTAGTGATACTGAGCATCTTTTCATGTACCTGTTGGCCATTTGAATGTCTTCTTTGGAAAAATATCTATTCAGATCCTATGCCCTCCCATTTTTCTATGACCAAGTTCTGTTTAATTTTGCTCCATTTACAGTACTTCGTTTTACTCCTAATAATGTTATTTGATGTTTCTTTCTAATAATACCACAATTTTGTGACTTTTGTTTTCCTTTTCAGGCTATTCCAGGTATTTCAGAGAAGGAAAAGGCTGGTAAGTTGAAATTTGGTTGTGTTTTCCATCCTATCTATTTTAGAATAAAATTTCAACTTCATGTAGACATTTCATTAAATACAAATATGTGTAAATCTCATCAACCTCTGGGTAAATATTGTTGAATTACTGAAAAATATATTGTGTTGCTAAAATGTAAGGAAAAATATGTGGTTTTCTAATACAGCATTATATCAGGTTAGAAAAAGATGTGTGCTTCTTGTAGCCTTACAATAAGTTGCAACTGCAACCACATTTTTTTTTTTAAGAAAAGGGTTAGACGCTGTTCAATGTAGGAGAATGGTCTTTGGCAATTGGTTGTTAATAATCATCAAGATTATTTTTTAATTTTAAGTAGCTTACTTAGTAGTCATAGAAAGAGTTTTACTTATTTAAAGCTGATGCTATACTATCAATAGTGTAATTGTAAAGCAATATGAATAATTGTATTGGAAAAAATAGTATTTTTCTATGCTCTATGCTATTATTATAACTATTTAACAGTATTAAGGAAAAATGGATAAGGACTGATGAGAAACATGGAAATATGAAAAATTAGACTTTAATTGGTGGGATTATATATATATATATATGTTTTTTCAAAATATGTTGATCTTCCTCAATATTGTCTCATATTTTCTGTGTAATAACAATAGTTTTCTAAAAAACAGAGTAAATGTGTGCAACCAAACTTGAAACATCAGTTAAGTTTTAGACATTTGTGATTTTTAAGTGCCACATTAAATGTGTATAGTATCACGTAAAAGATGTCTTGACTTCAAGTGACTTGAAAGCATTAGAGTCTATCTGATATGGTTTTTATACAGGAAATGTTCTCTTTCTATTGGGTTGTTGGAAAAGTCATGACGTATTTTTTCTATGTTTTTTGTTTCAAAAATGCATCATGACTTTTCCGACAACCCAACAGTTCAGTGATCTTATTTTTACTGCTAGTTTTCACACAAAAGTTTCTGTGATTTGTATCCTTCCATAGTTGAACTTTTCTCTCATGTTAGGCTGTGCCTGATTTCTTCACTCTTAATATGTTGAAAGATAACTCCTCAGAATACAAGGAAAAGAATGAACTGACATCAAGTGTCAGTTCAAGAGGAAAACTGTTCAATTTAACAATTCAGTGGTATTACAGGGATTAGTAGCAAATATTAAACAGATTTAAATTATAGTTCCTGGTCTCTATTATCTTAAATAGATTGTGTTAGTTATCCAGTTAGGATAAGGAATAACTGGTTAAGTGAGTATTTGCATCATACAGCAAAAGGAATTTAGCCAAAGTCATGCTTTATCTTGAGTTGTGACATTCTCTACAATTCCCAAGGTTAGCTGCATTTAAGCAAAGTATGTAACAGAGCAATATTGTCATCTAGTTCTAGAATATCAGCAAATTCATACCCCATGGAGGAAATTAGGATGTGAATTCTTGGCCAGGGGGGAAGGGAAAAAAGGGATGGAAGTGTCATTGCTTGAGGGGATGGAGAAGCAGTTATCTTCACTCTCTGCCACTTAAATGACTGCAGTTTGATAGGGACAAGCACTTCATTTAATCAAACTTCTCAAATGTTTTAAAGATATTTTTATCACAACAAAGAACTAATTAAACAGGTAGCATAAATATAATGCAACCATCACTTTTTATAATAATCCTGGAAGTTTTCTCCACAGGAACAACAAAAACAAAAAAAGTGGGATTGTCATTCTTTATTTAATGAGCTCTTTGGGTTATGTCTATACTGCTGGTGTACAAATGCAAAGCATTAATAAATTTCATTCACAGAGGTTCCACAAGATGGTCTGTGAAAAGTAGAATACACTAATTGATATACAGAGGGTGCCAAAAAATTTATACACATTTTAAGAAAGGAAAAAGCTATTAAAATTGTATTGGGTCGTCTGGAAAGTCATGATGTATTTTTCTATGTTTTTCAATGCAAAAATGTGTCATGACTTTCCCGATGACCCCATAATACTCAATATATACCAATAACAAAAGATGAATAGAAGTCATGTCTGACTTCTGCAATTACAAGAGGTGCTTAAAGTGGTTACCATCAGCATCCAGACACTTCTGATTATGGCAAACTACTGCTTGAGCAACATTGACCAAAGTGCCCACTTGTATACATTTTTTTGGTACCTTAGGTATATGACCTACCCAGGTTCCAGGCCCCCAGGTGCCCCATCTCAGATGCTTAACCTAGCATGGACTGATTTGAGCAGAACCTGGCTTCTATATATTAAAATATTAGAATGATTAGAAATTACTCCACAATGGATTTTGATTTAGATTTATTGAGAATGTGCTAATTTGTTTAGGGGGAAATATAATTTTGTTTGATAATATAAATATAATAAAGAAATAAAATACATATATTTTAAAAATCAGTGAATTTATCTGTGAAGATAAAGGCTTATGTTTGAATATTTTATTACTAATGGTATCAGTTTGACAACTCAAAAGAGAATATGACTTATTCCAAAAGTTTTAAAGGACCATAACAGTCTAAGCAATCTAATTCTTGTATTTCTAAACTTTATTATGTCCTATTTAAACTATTTGAGTGTTTTATATACAAATGCAAATCTCTTTATTCCTATCTTTATGAATCTTTATTTTTAAACTCTGCTAGACAGAGGAATGGCAATGAAGTCAGAGGACCCACTCAGTCTTCTGAGGGTTAATTGAGCTCTTAAATAGGATTAAGCTTCATGCCCGCCCCTAAAGCCTGTCATTTTTTTCTGTCTTGCTAAATGAATGTAGCTTATTGTTCCTTATTAAGAAGGCCTATTTTTAAGCCGTGTGACCTCTCATCCAAGCCAACTGGAACCAAGTCCACCAGGCTTTGTGAAGCTCTAAACGAAATCATTTTGGGTACATTCCATTAATAATTCTTGAATTGCACTTGTGTGGTTGTCCCTATGTGTCCTTTAAGTGGCCCTCTTCTGTTCTGATCCATGTTGCTATATACACGCAGCCTAGTGGAATTGGTTCTGCTGCTTTTCTCCCACCTCGTGATGACAAAAAAAAAAACTCCAAGGGGAAGCAATTCTGAAACAGCCTCCCATTGGTTCATTCATCCCACAAATACTTATGGAACAGAAACATGTATGAGGCATCGTATTGGGTTTTATCAAGGAAGCAATTATGTGCATAAGGCATGGTCCTTGCCCTGCAGGAACTCGAACCCAAGTTGAGAATATTCTAATAGGTTAGTATCCTCTGTTCCCTCTTCTCAATGAGAATAGCTTGACCCAGCTTATTCAGAAAGCTTCCCAGGAAAATAATCAAATTTAAAAAAAATTGTTTTCAAGAAACTCTGTTATGTGCATTCTCAGGATCTGAAACAGAAAATAATTAATTAAAAAAAAACAGGATTAGCCACATCAGTATCAGTATATCCAACACATAATATTTTCATATAACTTTTATTATGCTTCTAGCATCCATATGCCCCTAAGGAGTGAGCCCAGTGTCATTGGCATAGTCTCCAACACATCTGCTTCCTACCCGTGTGTCCTTGAGCAAGTTACTTAACCTCCTCACTTTTTCATTTCTACAGCATAAGTAAAGAAGTTGCTCTGATAAGGCAACAATGCTTGGCACAAAGTGGGTCCTAGAAAATGGTAGCTGTATTTTATGATAATGAGTTATTATCATAATCGCCATGTGTACAAGCCAAATAGAAGCTAGCCGTGTTACTGCCACCCATGTCTGCTCCAAAAGTTCTTAAACATTTCCTCAGGGCACCAATTAACAGCTAAGCAGCTGTCCATGTGGAAGAAAGATAACACTTTCTCCAAAAGCTTCTGGGTGAGTTAATTCAGATGGAAGTTATTACAGTATAGGCAAAGTTGTTCGTATTTAAACTTCCATTAGCAATTCTTATCTCTATTAGACTGAAATTGTCTCTTGTGAACAGATCATCTTTGATTTTCACCAAGATTAGCCCCTGGAAAATGTAAACCCTCTGTCCTATCTTCCTGACTCCCTGTATCCCAAGTCCCTAAAATAACAGGACTTCCTCACTCCCTGCACACAATCTTGTCAGCACTGCCTTCTAATCACCCCTTGTCCATCCTCCTTGTCACTGCTTTAATGCAGCCCTCCACTTTCCACTGGACTTTCGTAACAGTGTCCAGACTGGTTTCCCTGCCTTAACCTGTCATTATATCAGTCCATTCTTTACACTATCAACAGAGTTATCTTCGAAAAGCACAGCCTGATCAAATAAATTCCTGATTCAGCATTTTCTTTATCTCCCTTCTATCTACAGGAGGAGGTCAAACTTTTCTGCTTGACATACCTGGCCATTTGAAATCTGGATGTAGTATCACTTATTGGACTGAATATGTCCATTTTGCCCCTCAGATCCACTCTCCACCCTACTCCTCCCTGGCTCTGTGCCTGGAGGCTGACTGATGTAGGCAAAATCAATGAGCTGTCCTACTTTCAAATGTCTTCCCCATTCCACCAATAAGGAGCTCTGACAAGAGGCTGAGGGTGGGGGGCCAGTGGGTCCTCCTGTGGAGTCTCTGTCGGCTTCTCTTAGGTGACCCCTTCCACACAAGTTTCCAGGTTCTGACAACCATTCTCTCATCTTGCACTCATGGTTTCCCTACACCTTTATAAATAGTTCTGTGACTAAATTTCCCTCCATTTACCCAATGTGTCATTGTTTTCTGCAAGAAGTCTCGCTGATATACCTACCAATATTTTCTCTTCTTTCTATTTGTGTAAGTTAGGTTTTGTTGTTGTTGTTATACTTAAGCCATTGCATCCAGCTACAGAACACCTCCAAACTCTATATTTTTCTACTTCTGCTTAGATCATGAAGCTGCCTTTAAAACTATGTAGATGCTACCATAGATATAGAGCTAGAGAGTGAGCGAGAAAGAGAGAGAGACCATGTTTCTCTTCAGCCTAAATGAATTCAGTTTCATTGCATTCAGTCACATGGGAAAGAAAAATATCTATCTTTATGCTT